CTAGTGCCCGCCCATGTCTGGTATTCTTCTCCTCAGCTCCTGGAAATATTAGACCTCTCAAATTCATGGTGGCTAGGTGAGTTTACCTATGATGATCCAGGGACCAAGGGTGGAAGTGATAGTAGCACTTCCAAGGCAAAGTGTGTCATTCTTGGTATGATACTCTTACTGTCTATGTAAATCTAACATGGTAGTAATATTCAGATCAAAAAAAAACATTAGTTTTATAGCTTTCATGATAGTAATCATAGAGTATGCCAAATAAGAAATTGGAGAAAAATTAACTTAAATTTTATATCAATGAAAATTCAGGTTTGTACAAAGTAGGAAAGGATTTAAAAAAATAATTCTAAAATCTAAAGCAGTTTGAGTCAGACTTATATTTAATTGCAATCACAATTTTAACCTCATTCAATTCTTGTCTGAGAGAAAAGATGAAATAATAAAAGAAACCTCCATTCTATTTTTTTGCTTTGCTAACAGTATTGAAGAAAAATTTATTTGCTATTTAAACCCAAGAATACTCTTTAGTATATTCTGTGATGAAAAGAAAATGTTAAAACAATTAAACTCCATATATCATCCTGTGTTAAACCTTGTGACCAGTTTTGATGGTTATTATCTTAGAAACCATTGTCCTTTCTCATATTAACTGTTCTTTAGAGAAGAGAATCATATTTGAAGATAAATTTATAAGTGAATACAACTGTAATCTTTCCTCCCAGATCTGGCCATCTCCTGGAAATGTTGCCCTCTCTAGATGGCACCATTATTATCAAGCTGTTGAAGCTAGACATCTGGGAATTATCTTGATATAACTTTCTCAGCCATTCTCTACCAGGTTCTGTTGACTTTTACCCTCCAGGGAGATGTCTTTCCAGTGGAGTCTGGCTTCATCTGTACAGCAGACAACCTTGTCTCCTGTATTCCTGAAACATCCCTGTAAACATCCTACACCCATAGTTCCACAAAACAGTGCAATTATAGTGAACTTTTTAAAGCTCTAATCTAATTATGGTCTTCCCATGTTTAAAATGATGTTTTTCAAGTAAAATTCAAAATCCTGAACTGATTTATGAGACCCTATGTGAGCCAGCTTCTTCTCCAGCTTTGAAGATCTTTTTACCAGCCAAATGCTAAAATAACAGTGTTTTAACAAGACATAATTTCTCTTGTATAAGTAGACAATACAGAAACTGCTGTGGTAGTTTCAGAGTCCTCTAGAATCTACGCTTCTTTGCTCTTGTTGCTTTACCAACCTCATCACAGATGAATGTTGCGGCTCACCCCATATCTGCATTCCAGCTAGAAGGAAAGTGGAAAGGGAAATAAATGGCAAGTGCCTTCTCTTTGAGTACATTTTGCAACATTGCCCCTGACTGTGTCCCATTCTTCAGAACTTAGTCACATGACCTTACCCAGCTGCAAAGGAGACTTCTGGGAAGTCACGTGCCTAACAAATGCAGTGCATTGTTGTTGGGAAAAGGAGATACATTTGGAGCGCCACCTAGTGGTCTATCACAAAGCTAAATCTTCATCATCCAGGGTACAATGTAAGTCAAAAATGTCTGATGCAGAAAACCAACACATAGCACATAAGCATATTGCTGGAAATGTTACAGGGTAACCCTGCTCTAAAACAGGTTGCCTGACAACAAATGTTGGCGAGGATGTGGAGAAAAAGGAACTCTTCTGCACTGTTGGTGGGAGTGCAAACTGGTCCAACCACTATGGAGAGCTGTGTGGAGATTTCTGGACCTACTAAACATAGAGCTTCCATATGATCCAGCAATTCCACTCCTAGGTATTTACCCAAAGGACACAGAAACATCCATTCCAAAGAGCACCTGCACTCCTATGTTTATAGCAGCACTGTTTACAATAGCTAAGCTTTGGAAACAACCCAAATGCCCAAAAATAGATGACTGGATCAAGAAGATGTGGTACATATATACCATGGAATATTACTCAGCATTCAAAAAAGATAAACACATGCAATTTGCAGCAACATGGATGGCACTGGAAGGGATCATGCTCAGCGAAATAAGCCAAAAAGAAAAAGAAAAATACCGGATGGTCTCACTCATAGCAGGAATCTAGAAAACTTAAATAAGGGACCAGGAAAATGAATATAAGAAAGTGAAAATCAAAATCAACAAAAAACTATGAACCAGAGACACTTGTTGGGGGGTGGGGGGCGGGAGGGGAAGGATTGGGGTCAGAATGGGGCGTTTGCAATTGTATGGGGGAATATAAAAATAAAATTTAAAAAATAAATAAAAAAAAAAAAATAAAAAAAAATAAAACAGGTTGCCTGACTGTGGGTCCTCACCCGCATGCTTAAAAGGGACTTATGCTGCAGGCACACACAAAAGATTAACCAAAGGTTTATTTACGAGGAAAGGGGAATGAGGAAATGTACAACTCAGGGAGAAACGAGGAAGATAAATTCTTAAATGTGTCCTACCTGTTCCACCGACCTGGAATCCCAAATGACCCACTGAGACCAAACCTGCCTGGCCAAGAGCCCCGGCCCCACTAAGATGGCTGTTTTTATTTACAAACAGAGAAAATGGCTACTAAACTCTGCCCTTAGGTCCACGCAACTTCCATTTGGGGATCCTGGGATTTGTAGTTCCCAGTGTCTTTATGGCATGGGGGTGGCAAATGCTAAAGAAAATAGCTAAAATTCTTGAAAGTAATTGCCTCTGGGACACATGGATAGAGTGAAGCAGGGCAGTGATGTTTTGCATTGTATACCTTGAAATGCTGTTTGACTTTTTTCATAAGAACATATTTTGATAAAAATTGCATTTGAAAGTTTTCTAAAGCATAAATAGATGAGGATTACATGTGAGAACTGGATGAGTTTTCCCTGCAAAGCCCTTGAGGTTGTCTATTTATTTCCCACTTTGACAGTCATCTCTGAGTCTTTGGTATTTCTGCAAAGGTGATCTTATATGCATGAATATTGTCAAAGGTTGGAAGACCATAAGATCAGGTTCAAGATATTTGACCAAACCTAATTGCCCTGTTTTATCCTCTTATTAAATTAGGGCACCTGGCGTTTAAAATATTGATGAGACATTAAATGTCTTTGACTTAGGTATTTTGTCTTATTTTCCTGACATAGATGGATTTATAATAAGCTTGTCCAGGAAAATTTTCTTAATTGGCAGCAGCACTCCTTTTCATTATGGGAGTTTCATGACAGGGAAGGTAGACACCTCAAACCACAAGCCATGGAAGGTTGGTTAATAAAAATATGCAGACACCTCTTAGCCCCTGAATGAGGAGAGAAATAGAACCTGAGATTGTGGAAGCCCAGAAGCTGTGTGGCTCTGCTGATCAAGAAGAAACAAAATAATTCATCTGAATGAAATATCAGGAGACCTCTCTGTTTTCATGAGAAATGTATCAAGCCTTAACAATTGCAAACCTTAATGGGTTTTGTTTGTTAAAATATTTAGCAAAGAAGAGTTGTTGATAATGAGAGACAAAGGTCTGAAAAGGAAAACAATCATTGGACTTGTTTTTAATCTCATTTCATTTTCTCAGCTCTCAGTCATGTCATTATCTGGCTTTGGTGCTTATATAACTTAATTAGGGGTGTTCAGACAGCGATGGGAATAGGAGAGCAAAATGAAAGGATAACAATTTAAATAGATTGACTTCAGATGCCAGTATGGATGGAAATGAAGCCTATTAAAGACCTAATTCTAGAAGCAGCTCTTGACATTGATCATTTGTGAAAAGAAGGTTTTTTTTTTCCTTACCCACATACGTGGTTTTGTACACTTATGTCTACAAACCTTAAGCATTGGTACATTTGATCATCAGCTTGTGGAATTACTAACAGCGCGCTACTTTGAAAGAGCAGACAAGATTATTAAGTTTGGCAGGAAATGAAAATTTAGTCTTAATATACATGTGAAATTGAATTGTCTATAGCACAAAACTTTAGAGATTACCCATGCAAAATGAAAAAAACTATCTAAATTTAAAATTGTCCTCACTACAGTGAAAAGTAATTTTGCAGTCTGCATTTTTACTGCATTGAAATCCATGAAGAGATTGGCTCTATTAATTTAGATTTAAACAGAATCTGTATCTTCTAAAAATGGTAAATGAGATGGAAAATGTACTTCAAGGGGAGAAATGAGTCTCTGGAAATGCGGTAGGCAGGCAGGCTCCCTCCTCCACATCTTTGAGTATGCCCTGAGACCAGTCAGGGCTTCAGAGGGAAGGCTCCATCTACTGTGACAGGCATTTAGAATAGGACATGCAGACAACGCCTCAATTACATATTGCAGCCTTCAAGAATAGGACAAGAAGCAAATCAAGTAAGGCCCCAAGCAAAAAATCACTGGCAGTGTTTATAGTCTAGTTCCCAAAATGGCCTGGCAGTTGACAGAAGAAAAAAACAAACAGGAATTTAATGTATTTTTCAAGTCTCAGCCAACACAATTGTCTTCTTATAATCCCTGCCTGGAACAATACTGTGGCAGGGGTTTTTGTTACTCTCCCGGCCTCTTCCCACAAAAAATAATCTTCTGTATAGAGAGAAATTGGGAGTATTTTTTTTTAATTCCCTAATCTTTGATTTCCTTTAGATCACAAAGACTGATAAACATTTTTGTCTGTTATTAAATAAATTATTATTTGTTAAATAGAGGGCTATTTATTTGGAACCATAGTTTGATGACCTATCATTTAACCACTGAGAAGAATACATAATAGAATAGCCATTGTGCAGCAAGAATTAATAATAAGCTAGGATTTTACATTCTTAAAGTTCTTATTAGAATTATTATGAAGAGGAATGTAAAAACAATGGTTCTTAGAACCCCTTAGTAATAGAAGTGAGTCTAGAACTAATGTTTTCCAAGCTTCCAGGCACTTTTCATATTTGCTATAGCTTATCAAAAATCAACACTGCAGAGTGGGCAACACATCAGATAATATTGTTAGCTTTCTTCATTTCCTCTTTGCTTTTTCAGGCATTGCTGTGCTTTACTTACATCTCTATGATGTGTTCGGGGATCCTGCCTACCTACAGAAGGCGCATGGCTATGTAAAGCAAAGTCTGAACTACTTGTCCAAGCGTTCCATCACCTTCCTTTGTGGGGATGCAGGCCCCCTGGCAGTGTCTGCTGTGGTATATCACAAAATGAACAATGAGAGGCAGGCAGAAGATTGCATCACCCGGTAAGCAAGTGTCTTTTTGAGAATTATTTAGATATTATTATGCATTAATTCTGTATATATTAGCAAAAGAACATTTGAGTGAATTTACTTTTCTCACAGCAATACAACTGACTACTCTGTCATGTGATCAGTTATTATTCCAGAGTGTAGCTAAGGAACAGCCATAATAATCCCTTTTTAATTGCAAAATATGATGACACTGACAAGTTCCAGATCAAGCATCAGTTGAATAATATAAATGAGGTCAAAGCCTAATTATGTGAGTGCTGACCCAAGGTGCTCTCCAGGACCAGTAATTTGAAGAAATGCTGTTCACTTCCTGCTGTGGTCTGGGAGGGGCTTCCTAAGGCAGCACAAACATTCAAAACTGTTTCTTAGGGGCAAGTGACATAGAAATCCAAAGGGGTGTGGCAGAGGACTGTGGGCACTTTGGTGGTAGGAAAACTATGGTGACCACATCTACGGGGAGAAATCCTATATTGTGAATAAACAAGGATGTTTAAAAAAATAAAAGAAAGCCAAATCTTTATTTTTCATATAAATCAAGGCAACCCACTAGAAGCTTGTGAGTGATAAAGAATTACTGTACTTACATATGAGTCAACTATAACCATTGCCTTACGAGCATTTATTGAACACTTTCAGAAATCTCCTAAGACATCTGACAGCCACACAGCTCTCCATGCCATGTTAATACACCGAGAGTTGCAGTTCCAATAAGGGTGTTTTGTTTTGTTTTATTGTTAATAAACTTTACTTTTTAGAGCAGTTTTTAGTTCACAAAATAATTAAAAGGAAGTCACATAAATTTCCCCCGTACCCCTGCCCCACAAATGCATAGCCTCCTGCATTGTCAATTCTCTCCAACCAGAAAGGTTCACTTGTTACAATCAAGGAACCTGTCATCACCCAAGGTCCACACTGTACATTAGGGTTCACTCTTGGTGTTGTACATTCTGTGAGTTTGGGAAATGTATGTTGACATGTATACATTATTATAGCATTGTACAGAGTAGTTCACTACCCTAAATATCCTCCCTGCTCTTCCTATTAATCTTTCTTCCCTCCTCCCTAGCCTCTGGTAACCACTGATCTTTTTACTATCTCCATAGTTTGCCTTTTGCAGGTCATTTAGTTATAATTATACAAAATGTAGTTTTTTCAGATTGGCATCTGTGACTTAAGTATATATTTGTTTAAGATTCCCCCATGTCTTTTTATGGCTTGATAGTTCATTTCTCTTTAGTGCTAGTAATATTTCATTGTCTGGATGTATCACAGTATATTTATCTAGTCACCTATTGAAGGACACCTTCATTGTTCCCAAGTTTTGGCAGTTATTTTACCATTATAAAATAACTGTTAACATTGAAAAGGTAACATTCATTTACAGCACTGTAGAGGGTCGTGTGTATTAGTTTCTCACCTCAGCAATTATATATATACCACACCATGCTTAGCACCAGTCTGGGTACCATCCACCCATCATCCTCTCCAGCCCCAACTTTCCCCGCTGGTAACCACCATTCTGTAATCAGAGTTGAAGGATAAGGATTTGTTTTTGTTTGTTTATTTTGTCTTTATATTCCATAAATATCAATAAGTGAAAGAATAAGGTATTTGTCTTTGTCCTTCTGACTTACTTCACTTAGCATAATCCCCACAGTCCATCTTTGTTGTCCCAAATGGCAGACGTTCATCTTTTTTTTAATGGCTGAGTATTATTCCATTGTGTGTGTATATGTGTATACAGATTGATGATAGATGTATTATTCCATTGTGTGTATGTGTATATATATAGAGAGAGAGACATAATAGATAATATACCTATATGTATATGTGTACACACATAGCATATCTTCTTTATCCAGTCATCCCTCATCAGGCAATTGGGTTGTTTCCATATGTTAGTTATTGCATACGGTGCTGCGAGGAGCATAAGTTACAGATGTCTTTTTAAATTAGTATTTCCATATACGTAGTGGGATTACTGAATCATGTACTAGTTCATCAGCAAGCTTTTGGCCTAAAATTCTAATAACTTTAACTTTTTACCACTCAAAATTTTACTATAAAGAATTTCAAAAATATAGAATAGTTGATAGAATGGTGAATCCCTTTAGAACTGTCACATAGATTCTACCATTAAAATTTTCTTTAGGGCCTCCCTGTGGTCTAGGGGTTAAATCTCAGTGCTCTAACTGCCATGGCCTGAGTTCAGTCCCAGACAGGGAGCTAACCCATATAGCGCAGCAGACCTCTCCTATCTTGTCCGCTGCTCCCCTCAGCAGCGTATTTCAGTCAGTCTGCCTGTTCTGTTCCCCACTCTGTCTCTGGTGAATCCCCTCCCCGGCCCCCTCAGCTCTGGCCTGCACCCTGGTTCTAAAAAAAAAAAAAGGATAGAGGAATGGATAGATGAATGTGATAAAATTTAAAAAAAAAAAAATTTAAAAGGTTTATTTATGCATAGAAGTGGGGTGCATTTTTTTTGAGCAAATTGCACACTAGAGTTCAATATCTGTTCACAGTTTTCTCTTTACATGTAAACTTTACACACAGTAAGCTGCCAAGTTTTAAATGCTTGTTGAATTTTGACAAATGCATATGCCATGGTAATCCAGACCCCTAGCAAGACCTAGAATATTTTTTCAAATATTTTTTCTGACCCAGCCTCTCTCTTTTTCTAGTATTCCAGTTACACCTATGTTGGGTCTTTTGATAAGTGTTCTACCCGTTTCTAAGACTGGTTTGTTTTTGGTTTTTTTTTCAGTCTTTTTGTTTGTTTCTGTCCTTAAGATTGAATAGTATTGATCTGTTTTCAGATACGCTGTCTTTCCTCTGTTACATTCATTCTGCTGTTAAGCCCATCCAGCAACGTAGTTTAAACTTTACATTTTTCACTTCTAGAATTTACACTTGGTGCTGTTTTATTTAATTATTTATATTTTGTTAAACTACACATAACACAATTTACCATATTAGCCATTTTTAAGTGTATAGTCTGGTGGTATTAAATACATTCTTAATGTTTTGTAATCACCATCACCATCCATCTCTATAGCTCTTTTTTGAACCCTGAAACTCTGTACCCATTGAACAATGACCCTCCATTTCCCAAGCATCCAGACGCTGTCAATCACCAGATATTTTCCATTTCTCTGATTTTTGACTACTCTAATTATCTCATATATGTGGAATTATACAAAATCAGTTTTTTTCTGACTGCCTTGTATCATTTAGCATAATATCCTAAGGTTAATGCATGTTATAGAACAGCTAGACTTTTAAAGATATGATTATTTGTATTGAAAAAAGGGATTATCCATACTCCTGTTGTTTAAGCATTTATAAGCAAAATCTCCTCCCCTAATCATTTTCATGTACAGTGATATTTTCTTAACAGTATCATGGGCAACTGTAACAACAGGGGGTTCAGTGTAACATGAGTTTGGCCAAAGAGTATGTTGTTCTACTAGCCTGTGTTTCATTAAATTATTCCCTGAATTGACATATTCTTTTGTTTCCTTTTTTATGTATACTTATGCTACATATATCAGAGGTTAGAATTTATATAGTACAACTTAAAAACAAAACATTTTACTAATATATTTGGAGGAAAAATGTATGACATCCTGTAAGCATTTCATTTTATAAAAATAATGTTGAATTCATCCATTCTTAGATTGAATGCTACAAAAGCCAGCTGTTCTTGGATTCTCAGACCCCAACTGCTAAAATACTAGCAGTTTTAGGGCTTGTCTCCCTGAGGAACTCGAAGACTCAGCCATACACTTGTATGAGGTCCTTCGATTTTCTTGACTTTTCATTCTCTGAGTTTAGTTGATCTTTGAACCCTGACTACCATTGTGATCTAGTCCTGTCCACCGAATATAGACTCATATGGAATAATTTATAAGCTATAAATATATTTCAACATTTGTATAATTATATTAAAATGTATTTTATAAAGTATATAATAATTTAACATATATTTGTACATATACATTTTTAAATGTTTTAAGTGTATAACACTACCTGATCCTGTTCATGCGTTTTTATTCCTAGACTGATGCACCTAAAAAAGATTGATCCCCATGCTCCAAATGAAATGCTGTATGGACGGATGGGCTACATCTATGCTCTGCTATATGTGAATAAGAACTTTGGGGAGGAAAAGATCCCTCAACACCATATTCAGGAGGTACTTTTTGAAGTCTTTTTAGAATCCCACTTATTATGTGCCTAAACTGTTGGTTTGTTTCTCTAATTAGTATATCCCAAGTAGAAGGAAGGTGTATCTTGACCTCTGAGGATCAGGCAGAGAACCAGTAACTTCAAAATGAGTGCTGTTGGAAACTCAGTAAGTAGGAAGTGACTCAGTGTAAGAAAGGCAGCCTGCTCCATTTGAGAGTCGAGAGGCCCTTTCAGAGATATTGCAAGTCAGATTTCATTTCCCAGATACAGATGTCTTCTTTTGTGCCTAAAGAAGTTTATGCTTTCCTTTGACAGGTGAATTTTTGTAGGTGCTAGTGAGGTGTTCAAGATCTCCCATTACCTTTCCCCTTTTAGGCAACACACAGGCGTGCCTCTTCCTGAGTACAGAATTAAATCATGCCCTTCTATGGCTAAGATGGTATCTCATTCACTACGTTCCCCAGTACCTCTTCACAAAAAGTTCCTTATCTTCATTAGGAGGGTCTGTGTTCTAATTCCCTCATTATTTTTTGCCAATTTTCTCCCTGTAGATTTGTGAAACTGTCTTAACTTCTGGAGAAAATCTAGCTAGAAAAAGAAACTTCACATCAAAGACTCCACTGATGTATGAGTGGTATCAAGAATACTATGTAGGTGCTGCTCATGGCCTAGCAGGAATTTATTACTTCTTGATGCAGGTAAGAAGGGATGATGGTGAGACTATAAAATGTACTTCCTGACTATGCAATCTTGGGTGAGAGAACAGGTGCTTCAGCTCTATTTCTTTGTTTTTGTTTTGTTGACCACTGCATCATGATCCTTATACCTGGCCTAGAGAAACAAGAATAATATTTGTCAAGGTGCATTTTAAAGTGTATAAATATAAAAGCACTGTGTTTTTTAGATAATGTTTGATTGCCTACAGTGTGCTGCTTGTGCAAACTGAAGTGTTGTGACCTGTACTGCCCCATGAAGTGCCTTCTGCTCTCCTCTTCAAGCACATGTCTTGAATAAAGAATATTATTCCACCTTATAAGGCACAACCCACTGAAACAAATTCCAAAAGTAAGAACAAAATCAATAGAAAACAAATGAGCATATGTAGCCTAAGGCTTACTTAGAGAATAAAGCTAAAGAGCCTTTTCAATGGATTTTGTGTAACTTAACTGAAAAATAGTTGAATATGCTATGCCCAACAGTTCTTAGGAACTAATACTACTGGGGAACATCAGCCAAAGTCGAATAGACTAAGGACAAATAGAATTTACTGCAGCAAGCATAACCTGGAAGAGAGGTCAGAAGAGGACTTCTCAGGAGAGGATCATTTCCAGAGGCTTATTTAGCTCCCTTTAAGGAGAAAGAGGCACTTGTGAATAAAAATAAGAATTCATGGTAAAATCAAATTGATTTTTAATGGCAGCAAAGATGCCCCCCCCCCCTTACCTTCCCAAAGTGCAGTGTGGCATAAAGAAAAGCGTTTTATTAATATGTTCAATATGAGTGCTTGGATATACGTGCGACTAGCTGGTTGAGTAGCTGGCTATAATAATGCAAAATCAATGTCAGACCTTTCCTCTCTCTATAACTAAACAGTGACAACACAGCTGAAATCCTCAAGGTTATTACTGCTTTTGAATACAGAGTCGCACTCTGAGTTTTACTGACAGTAAGAGACCAAGTGTGGTATTTATTCTTCACTTCTCAATGAAGAGTTTTATCGTTAGAGGTTTTCAAAAGTGAAACACATTTCCTTATTGTATGTCTATAGCTAGATATAAATACAGATTCTTAAGTGTTTTTCAGAAAGGAGAATTCTTCTTTTTCAAAGTCTCAAGGTGAGTTAGAATCATAGATGTTAGTGACTGGACAGCCTTTTTACCTTCCTTTGAGCAGGTCATAAGAAAGTGTCTTTTCTGCCTCCTTTTATTAACACAATAAGAAATCTGAAAACCCAAGTGTTAAGTTTTTCATTTGTAGATTATTGTATATTTAAAACGATTTAATTTTTAAAACTAAAAGTCTTTCCAGTAAGTATCTAGTTATCAACGTAAAACAAAACATTATCTATATAGGCCACATTAGATAATTCCTGCAGATTTGAGAATTCTCTCATTATACCCTAACATTGTAAACTGAACTTGAATAATATTCTTTGGGTACAGTGGAATCTGTGTTTCTCCTAGAGAACTTAGTTCACATTCTGAACTAAGTATCAGAAACTAGGTATCTGAACTAAGTATCTGAAAGGCTTATTGGTCATTATTGACTAGTTCCCTGACACCACCACTTCCTGCCTGTGCTCCACAACTCTGCCCACCCATCGCTCCCATGTGTCCACCTGTACCTGGCAAAAACAACACTTTGAATTTATTGTTTAAGATCTGAGCAGTGCATTGAATTAAGAGTAGGTACAAAATGAAAAACTAGTAATTGAATAAAATATGGAGCATATGTCTATGTGTCCTGTAAATATATAAATTGTTGTATCAAAACAGTCCTGCATAAGTGTGCATCCCAAGGTATCTGCAGAAAGGCTTGACCTACAGTCACACTGCAGATTAAGATCTAGATTCCAGTTCACTTACCTCATGAGCATCCTCATCTGTTGGAAGTTTTACCTACCACTTCTCTAAAGTAATAACGTTTGCTTGGTTTGTAGAATACATTTCTTTGTATCCTTTAAAGTATGCGTAAGGTATTAAAACTTTAGAAATTCTCTTATACTCACATTCTTAAGCATTGTATATAGATAATAATAAATATTGAAAAATAATACATACCTAAAGCCCCAAGCATTAATTAATAGCCTCATTTTAGTTTGTTCAGTATGTGAAAATATTGGATGGAATCCAAAACCTCTTAGTAACTTCAAGTTCCTTTTGGTCATATTTTCTTTCTGGCTTATGGTTCATATCATGTCTTAGGAAGGTATGTTTGCTTCAGAAGTACTAAAGAAGTACTACCTTTCTCATTTTTAGCCCAGTCTTCATGTAAGCTCTATGAAGTTACATAGTTTGGTCAAGCCCAGTATAGACTATGTTTGCCAGCTGAAGTTTCCTTCTGGAAATTATCCTCCTTGTGTGGATGATACTCGAGATCTGCTAGTCCACTGGTGCCACGGTTCCCCTGGGGTAATCTACATGCTCATCCAGGCCTATAAGGTACTGTGAATTTTCTCATTTCAGAAATACTTTGGAAAACAACATAAAATTGTATAATTTAAAATTAGCTTTATGTATAGCCCTTAAATGAGTAATAGATAAGTCACTTCTTGGACCTAAGATCACTTTGCCAAATGGATTATAATTCATTTCTCATAGTATCCACCGTGTACCATAGAAGACCCTATTCCTTAGACCAGGAGACTGCTTCACCAATAGGCAGAATAAAGAGCAAAGCATTAGTGGTAGAGCCAAGATAAGCATTCCAGAAGCTCAATTCAAAATAGAATCTTCCTTTTACATTGCTGTATCTGCTATAGAAGAGTTGGCAGTTTCTCAAAAAATTAAACACAGAGGTAACCTAAGATCCAGCAGTTTCACATCTAGTTATATACCCAAAGGAATGAAAAACTATTAAAACAGATACTCATATACCAGTGTTCCCTAGCAGCATACCCAGAATGTGGAAATCGTCCAGTGTCCAACCACAAATGACTAGATAAACAAATGGGGTATGTGTATATAATGGAATATTACTTTGCTATAAAAAAGGAATGGATTTCTCATCCATTCTACAGCTTGCTTGAACCTTCAAAATATTATGCTAAGTGAAATAAGCCACAGACAAAGGACAACTACTGTATGATTCCACTTGTATGACATGAAAGTTAATGTGACATTTCTAGAATAGGCAAACCTCTAGAGATAGAAAGTAGAACAGAAATTACCAAGGGACTGACACAAGAGGGAGGGAGGCAAAGGCTGGAGAATTACCATTTCAGGGGCGCAGAATTTCTGTTTGGAATGATTTTGGCAATAACGGTGGTAATTATACAACATTGTGGATATAATTAATGCCACAGAACTGTACACTTAAAATGGTACCTTTCATGTGATGTATATTTTCCATAACAAAAATGCAAATATCTCTTATAAAAAACATTGACTAGCAAAGCCATAATCAAGAAAAAAAATGTTTTTATGAGGGAAAGAAACAAATATACCAAGATATCTTTGCCTGTTGGTGCCATATCTACAAATTACAAATATACAAACAACAAATAGGTGCTCGCATCTCACAGTCTAAATAAGCGATTAGTATGTCACATTTTACATTTCAGAAACTTGGATATAAAGGAAGAACAACTTTTAAATCTGCCTTTTCTACTTTTAAGAGTACTTAATTTGCAATGAGCTTTCAAATATGTCTACTCAGAATATTTCTCAAGTCTTTGATAAACATGTAGGAAATGGCAAAACACTGTAAAGGTATCTGTATTTTTTGACATAGTCGTTCATAATAAATTTGCATGTTAATAAGTTTCTTCTTTATCTTGTAAAGAAACTTCCTAATAGTGAAGGAAACATTTATACCAAAGAAGGTAACACATGCTCTTTGGAAAATGGCTAACGATAATAAGTTCCAAGTAAAATACAGCACACAGACACATAAAACTTGAACCGAGCAAGCAAGGTCATGCCCAGTTACTTAAAAACAAAAAGAGCAAAACCAGTGAGTTTTTCTAATTTGGCCCCATTATATACAACACATTTCTCTGGCTCTAAATCTCTTAGTCTTTTCTTGCCTAACCACCTCCCACCTCCATTCTCCATCTCCCATCCTTACTTACCAAGAAGAAATGTTGACCAACGTTTCTTTTACATTATATCCCTTATAATAAAACAGTGTCCCCTGACTGCAGGTGTTCAAAGAAGAACAGTATCTCAATGACGCCTATCAGTCTGCTGATGTGATCTGGCAGTACGGTTTGCTGAGGAAGGGGTATGGACTGTGCCACGGCGCTGCGGGGAATGCCTACGCCTTTCTGGCACTGTACAACCTCACACGTGATATGAAGTACCTGTACAGGGCCTGTAAGGTAGGGTCAGACCCACCAAGAAGAAAGCACTGCCTCCCAGAAGATTGTGGAAAAGGCTCTAATTAATGTGATTTCATTCATTTAGTTTTTAAACCATGAGTCTATAAAACAAGCACAGTTATTTAAAAAAGATCTTCCAAAGCCATTCAGCTGAATTAACTTTCTTTTAAAAGGATATAATGCTACTCAGCAGCATTTATGGGAGGTACAGGGAAATGTAGAGAGCTTTCTTCCTTCTGTGATAACCTTAGAGATGCACAGCTCATAATGCTCATTAAATCCTTTCCTACTTCTTACTCTCTTTCAGACCACACATATCTCTGCATTAACTCATTTTTTTTAATCAGAGTAATTCTTAGGGATAATGTCTATCAACTTCTGTGGGTCTTGGAAGAAATCATTATTGTAAGTGAACTTGATCTAACTTTCAGTTTGCTGAGTGGTGCCTCGATTATGGAGAACATGGATGCAGAACACCAGATACCCCTTTCTCCCTCTTTGAAGGTATTTTTTTTTTAAGATTTATTTTTATTTATTTATGCATACAAGAACTGGGTACATGTAGGCCCGAGGTGCAGGAGTAGAGAGGATTCACCAGAGACAGATTGGGGAGCAGAACAGTCAGATCTACTGAAACACACTGCTGAGGGGAGCAGTGGGTGAGACAGGAGAGGTCTCCTGTGCCATGTGGGTTTAGCTCCCTGGCCAGGGATCCAACTCTTGCCTCAGTGGCCAGCAATAGCTTGATAGTGCTGAGACTAACCCCTGCGCCACATGGGACGTCCCTGAAGGTATTTTTCATACATTACTTATTTGTTTTGTAATATCAGTATCTTCTTTCTGCTTGGTAATTCATGTATTTGAATTTGAGTTTTGTTAATATTAAAAATCAATTCACACAGTGACCACAAACTGGTACTCGTAGTCTAGTGGTGACTACCATTTGTCAAGACAGGCACCTCCTGGGCATTTTGCAGATGTGATCATAAGTCATCTCAGCAAAAGCAAACAGTTACTATCCTCATATCCCCAATGCAGAGACTGAGGCTCAGGTAGTGAGTGGCCTGTGGCCATGGTGAAGGAGCACACTCACATATGGTAAAAGGCAGGGCTGTGCCTTCAACTTGGCTGACTCCACTCTTTCTCCTCGCTGCCACCTGGAGAAAGAACTGACCACCTCTCTAATGATCTCCTTTAACGTTGAGCTGCAACATATATACAGGCAGATGCCCACTTACTTAAATCACGGCCATTAATGTCATCATGTTGATGCTAAAATAAAGCAGGCTCACTCGGTATAATGATGTTTGCTTCTTTTCTCTTCCTTTAGGAATGGCTGGAACAATATATTTCCTGGCTGACCTCCTAGTACCCACAAAAGCCAAGTTCCCTGCATTTGAACTCTGAAAGGAAAGGCTACCCCCTGCATCTCATTGCATGACCCTTTCTGTGTATCAAACCTGGACTAATGCTGTCCTTGCTTTTTAAAAAACCAGAGGCAAACTGTGTACTTGATTTTTTTTCAGAATTCATCTTTAGTTCAGTTCCTTCAACATTTACCTTTACTTTAAATATCCAAGGAAATCTCTTATCTTAACATTGGCTTCTTCCTATAGAAAGGGTTGGTGATATGTACAGAATTTGGAGGGCATATGTAGATTTAGATAAAAAAGTACTTTAGAACTTGGAGGAAATATTTTTCTTATTTAAGTTTATGAATATAATTGTCTTAATATTGCTCTTCAAATGTTCAGAAAAAAACTAAATGTAGGCAAAGAAAGATAGATGTGTGATTATAATTAGATATTGCCCTCCATCTCTTCTTCTAGCATATTCCTCTAACAGGACAGTTTCATGACTGCTTTTCACTAAGTGGTTGATTATGAAAGGGGACAAAAATATCACTACTCTATATATGTCCAGTATAAAAATTCCACGAGTTGCAAACTGGACTTGGGACCTGAATATCATTTTCAGAATTTACAATGCTTATTTAAACTAAAGATAATATGCGCTTTCGAATATGCTTCTTTTTGTTAGTAAGCATCCAAGTTCTATAGGCCATCATTTTTATCAAAAACTCCTAAAATGTAGTGGTCATGCTTTAAAAATTAGTTCAAGATAAGCTAACAACAGTTTATTGTTTTCTCTAAAATAAGTTTGTATATTTTGGAACTATTTAATTTTGTTTATTCTTTGGATTTAGTATGATCAAGAAGTTTTCTGTGTATGAATATATTATGACCTAGGATTTGAGTGAACCCTGTCTACTGAACTTCTAAACTTTTGCTTGTGTTCTACTTATTTTGCAAAGACTGTGGTTTAGTGCTGGCCATTTGTTAAAAGCCATAAGATATTTTCCTTCCGTTCAACCAATGTAGCCATTGGTTTTTTTGTAAAATAGTATAGTACTTCTATTTAAAGGGGGGAGGGGTGCTATATAACCAATAACTTGAATAAAAACAAAGCTTTTAATAGAAATGCTATTTAAGAGGTATTATCCAGTGATATTGCTTGGAACAAATAGATCCAGTCTCTTTGCATACCCCAAGCTTAATACTCATCACTTTTTGAGCCCACCGGATTAGCATTTATATGGTAAATGAAGAATCCTTGATGCTTCACATTCTGGGCAAATCCCCACTTACCAATTCCCACTCCTCCTCCTTCCATTACTGCCTTTTTCACTTTTGTTTCATCACTTCTGTATGTTTCTGATTAATTTTAAAACATTTCACTAGTTTAAAAAAAAAAAAACAGGGTCTAAAAATTTTAAAAGTGCCTGTTCCATGGCTCTCTCCATCACAGAAACATGTTTTTATTGAAACTTTGAACCAAATCCCACAGAGTGTATACTGGGTCCTGGGTATGATATCCTATTATTTTCCATTTAAAACCAAAATAGCTAATGTTTGTGGAAATTGTGTGAACCTTTAAAGGCTACTGACAATATAGGATCTCAACATCCCACTGCTCAATCCCCAGCATTAGCTTACTTTTCTGTGACTTGCACTAGTCAGGGACAACCCTGTGCCTTTCAGATTTTAGAAGTGCTGCTGGTAAGCTGTGCTTTTCTTGTGAAGGTTTCAGAACAGCAACGCTGGCACTGACAGACAGTAAAGCTAATTTGCCTTTGGGTGGGTATCCAACTTGAAAGGATGAAGCTCATTTGGTTAAGTTAAATGTCTTACTATACTATACCTGCACTTATAGCTACTAACCAAGAGAAAAGAACAAACACACTTTCTCTTAGCCAGAAGAGACTTGATTATAGTGTTTCTCCAAAGACCTTGATTGATTTAACCCCGGGAGGACTTCAAGGCAGAGAGAACATTTGAGTAAGTTTATGGTTCCTATATGGATTGCACTTCAGCCACTGTGAGCCATTAGCAAATGTAGCATTGCAAACACAAGTCAGATTTCATTTCTTCTTCAGCTTTTGAAGACTTACCAAACTGGCAGGATTTTTATATTTATGCCATTATTTTTATGCTTAAGAGCTAAGAAAGTTTGATAGGACTTGAAACTCAGGCAAAGACTATAAAACTAAGACTAATACCCTAGCACCATGGTAGAAATTGAAAGTTACAAAAGCTCTCTTAATATTAAAATAAAAAGGTATCCTTTCAGTTCTATTTCTGTTGCATCATTTTCCCCTCAGATATTTTTCTTATTGGTAAAAACCTTGCCAAAATGTGCTTCCCAGAAAACTCAATAGCATCTCTTATCTCCACATGAAGACTCACTAGTACAACCTTAAAAGCTTGTCAAGCAGTATTCAGTTTACCTGTCATGTGGTTCTGTTTCTGTAATGATGGGAAATTGCAGTGATTAACTTTGCAGCACATAAAAAATGTTAACATCAGAACCATTTCCATGATGCCATTGGGTTTGGTCTCATCTGAGTTGTCAGTGTTTAATCCTTACAGTCATTTGGCTCACTTTTCATCTTTGATGTCAGCTCCAATTATTTGATATTAAAAACATATGGTAGGTAGTTTTAAGTAAAAGTGTGTCCAAGGCCATTTTCTATAATTATTACCACTTCCATAAATGACTGAATTGAGAGATACACTCTGCTCCTAAATAATTGGGTTAATTTGTTTCTGATCTTAAGATGTGCTGCCTTCTACTAGCTGATTTTGAAACAAAAATGTGAACAGCGAACATTTATTCATCTGCTCATTTGACTACTAGAACTTACCTGTAGTCCTTTAGAACTCACACTGAATGCTGATTCCATTTTTCTTCCCCTAAATAGGTCAGAGCACCCCAATTCTGTAGTGCTGATGTATAGAAGTACTGTTCTTTCCTGTAGATATAAAACAAAATGTTTGGATATTCAGGGAACCTACCCCAAGATTATTTTGCTATTTTTTGGCAGGGCTTGCAATCATATGTATTTCTATGTTAAGGAATCAACTTCATTGGTTCTCAATAAAATTTTATTAGATTATCTGTCATCATGTGCTTTCATTTGCTATAGCTTTAATTTAATATTTCCTTCCAATGGTAAATGAGGGCTGTTCTGTATATACTCATTCACTAGGGTTTGTTCCTGACTATTCCTCCATTGTTCTTCAAGATTTTGAGCACATTTTGAAAGTAGACATTATAGGAAAATATTTTAAACTATGATCATTATAGAATTAGATGGAAGCTGCTGTGCTTCAAGCAGAGTAGTATGTTAGCTATCTCTTACAAATGAGAATCTACCCTGGGGTTACTAACTAAAGGCCTAATCCAAAAAATTTGATTTCTCTGACCAATTATGAAAGAGGAGGGGGTTTTACACAAGACATAATTCTAAAATGCATGTGCAGAGTTGGAAGAGTTCTGCTGAGTCATCTGCCTGACTTTGTGTGACTTCTTTTCATACCACATCTACATGGTGTCACTTAGCAAATAGAGATTTGTCAAATAAAACACTTGCTTTTATCCCTGAATAACATTTTGTCCTCTGGTACATACCATTAAAATGCCCTTCATGCTCCTAGATGATTGTTTGAATGACTCATAATATGAATGATAAGTGATAAACACTTTTATTTCTGTCCTTTGAACAAAGGCATAGATGGTGGTATCACATCTTTAGATGTGGGCAATGAGGCATAGCGAGGACAGTGCGTCTGAGGCTACTAAGACACTCCTGATGCTGGGAGCATTCCTCTAACTCTCCACAAGATGACATTTCAATTGGTAAGGCCAGCTAGCATGGTCCTCAGGATTAGCACTCCCTGGCTCATCTTCCTATGAAAGAGGAATGATTTTAATAACGTTCATTTGCACCATAATAGTAATCTCAGGAACAAGTAAAACTTGAAGTTATTCATCTCCTGTGACTTATCTGTAACAGTTTGATTTATTTTTCCTAACTTTGTATTAGAAAAGTATTTCCTCTCATACTCTATGAATAGAGTAATATTTGTGTCATTTCTTTTCCCCTAGATAGTTCTCGCTGTGGATTCAGCACCATTAAAAAACTAGTGTCTTCTCTAATCTTACAACATCAGTTAAACTGAGAGAACTTACAAATCAGTCACCTGATTATTTCTTACTGTTTCCCATCTAAACTCTCCCTCTTTCTTCTAAAGCTGAAGTTCAATTAACAAAGCAAGAACATTTTTTTTTTTGTAGTGGAGATGACTGACTTCATTGTCCCATTATTTAAACTATCCAAACACTGTTTTCTAGAAGCCCTGTGCTTGTGCATCCTCAGAGACCTATTTGACAATTTGGTGAGTAATGGGAGAAAACAACAAACATGATAAATAAAAATACAAAATAATGAGGATAGAGAAGTGAATCTTAGCAGGACCGCTACTCACAACAAACTAGCTTAATTTCACATTTCTACATTATGTTAACTTTCCACCCACATGTAAATTATAACCATGGTGACATTAAATCTGTAGCTAATGTGTTAGAGCTCTACAAATAAGTGTTAGAGAAAGCGTTTGTGAGTCAATTAGTCATTATGCAGGGAAAGGCAGGACTCTTGCTAAGTTGGTTTATGAAGTAGCTTCATGGTTGCCTAATTTCTCTTCTCTGATGGAGCTGGGATATTAAGAAAATCAGTTGTAACAAAAAATGTCAATGTGCCTCACTGTGAAAGTTGATGCTTAATATTGATTGTTCTCTCAGGATTCAGCATTTAGGAATTAACATGTACCCCCTTGCTGGTATAATACACACTGCTATCACTGTGTTTATATGCTGCAAATAGAGCATTTTATTTGATCATGCCACGAGCAATGCTTTAAAATTTTATCCCCCAAATTCATTAAACACATACATGCTTGTGCAAGGTGCCTGGCAGGCAGTTCTGGGTAAATAAGGTAGACATCTCTGCTCTGAAAACTCAATCTGGTGAAGAAGACAGGTGCCGAGACAAGTGATTACATGAAAAGTTATTCTAGTATTCCTGTTACCTCTCCAACTACCCTCGTTCACAATTTCAAGAATGTTCAGGTTTCTTATGCGACCTGTGGTTTCTGTCTATATTTGGAGTTAATGGAGCTCGGTTCTCCTGCAGGGAGAAAACACTTTAAAAGTCACTCAGCATCTACAAAGCACTGAGTTATTTCATTAGGACCACCTTGGTGATGGGCAAGGTAAAAGGAAATTAGACGACAGAGCCACTTGCCCTCAAAATTCTACTTAGTTACCTGACTTCCAAAATCATCCAGTATTATTATTAATGATTTAGGTTAAATCCACTTCTTTAGGAGTCTTCTGAAAATGCAAGTATTTTCAAAGACATAGTA